AAAAAAAAAAAAAAAAAGATTCATGATTTAGACCAGGTGGGTGGCTCATGCCTGTAATCCTAGCACTCTAGGAGGCCGAGGCGGGTGAACTGCTTGAGCTTTGGAGTTCGAGACCAACCTCAGCAAAAGTAAGACCCCATTTCTAAAAATAGCTTGGCACTGTGGTGGGCACCTATAATCCTAGCTACTTGGGAGGCTGAAGCAAGAGGATCTCTTAAGCCCAAGAGTTTGAAGTTGCTGTGAGATATGATGCCACAGCAGTCTACTGAGGACAACAAAGTAAGACTCTGTCTCAAAAAAAAAAAAAAAATTCATGATTTATGTTATGTGATGACTTTCTATTTTATCAGGAAACTCTTTTTGCCCCCATTTAATGATCTTCTCCTTGAAGTTTGAACTAGTATTTCCATACCTCCTTTCTTTTTGATAGCATTCACCTGCTATACAATTTTCCATTTTTTGCTTTCCACTCCCTGTGTTTTAGGTATCTCTAGTAGGAAGAACAGCTGGTGCTTTTATTTATCATTATTCTTTTCAGAGATGGGGGTCTCTGTCATCTAGGATGAAGTGCAGTGGCACAATCACAGCTCACTGCAGCCTTGAACTCTTAGCAATAAGCAATTGTCTCACCTCAGCCTCCACAAGTGCTGGGATTACAGGGGTGAGCCACCATACCTGGCCAAACTAATGCTTTTAAACCCAATCTCTCAGTGTTCATTTTGGCAGTACATATACTAAAACTGGAATGATGCTGAGAAGATTAGCGTGGCCCCTGCACAAGGATGACAGGCAAATTCATGAAGCACTAAAACTGAAACTTGTTGGTTACTAATAAGGTTGAACATATTCATGCCACCGTATTTGTTGCCTATTTGCCCTTCTTATTGATATTCCTTTTCCTTTCTTGGTTTTCACTGGAATGAATACATTTTCTTTTTTCCCCGCTAGAGTAGTATGAAAGTTATAAATCCCACTCCTATAGCTGGGACTGCCTACTCAATAAACCTACTCAATATGGTTTAATGGCTACTCAATAAATCTATCTGCAATCTTATTTTCTATCAATATCCAGGGTTACCCATAGCTCTGTCCTCATTCCTAATGAGACGAGAGTCTGCACACCTACTTCTCTCCTTCTCATGTCTCACATGTTTAGATCATCTGAGATTTTTGTTTGTTTTGTTCCTCCTCAAGCATCAAGTATTTAGATTTTATGTTAACTTAGGGGTCCTTGGACAATCTGCTAAGGCTAGAGGTTTCTTGGCCACATGCTTTCCTCAGTGTGTATATATGTGTTCCCGGTAGGCTAGAGCTTGGTCAAGGCTGTCCACTTCCAAGGGATAATGAAGAAGAGGAGCAAAAACAAAGTACGACACATGTTTCTGAGAACAGCTCTATATCCTGCACTGTTGCTTTGTACTCTTATCTTATAGAAAAAGCCTGTCTCCTAGTGTTCCAAATGAGGAAGCAAAGTTGTAGTCGGTATCTGTTTGCACTTCAGACATCTTTAGGGTACCAAAATGAGGCAAATCACCTCAGCTCAGAGGCAGTGGCCAGATCCGTCCACAAGGTTCTTCTAGGAATAAATCATGCTTGCCTCTCCTTAGGGGAAGGTGGGCTGGGTGAGAGGTCTCAAAACTCTGCTATACCTTGCAGGATGAATATAAAGAAGCCCTTCTTATGTCTGCCTCTTAAAGGTCTGACCCTTTCACTTGCTAACTAAAAAAAATAACTTATTAATTGATTTGGCCAGGTACTTCATGCCAGTAGTCCCACCTACTTGGGAGGCTGATGCAGAATTGCTTGAGCCCAGGAATTTGAGATTGCAGTGAGTTATGAGTACAGTGGACCACTATACTCCAGCCTGGGCTACCAAGCAAGACTCTGTCTCTGACAAAGATTAAGAAAAAAATAGAAAGATACAAGGTTACCTGTCAAAAGTTGTATGAGGGCCGGGCACAGTGGTTCATGCCTATAATCCTAACACTCTGGGAGGCCAAGGCAGGTGGATTCCTTGAGCTCAAGAGTTCAAGACCAACCTGAGCAAAAGCAAAACACCCATCTCTACTAAAAATAGAAAAACTAGCTGGGCACTGCAGGTAGCACCTGTAGTCCCAGCTACGGGATGGCTGAGGCACGGGGACTGCTAGAGCCCAAGAGTTTGAGGTTGCTGTGAGCTAGGACACACACGGTCCTAGGTTCTTTTGTTCCTTCTCCATTTTCACTGTTTCACTTGACTAGCCTTAAACAAACAACCACCTCCCAAAACTAGGCTGAGCATGGTGGCTCATGCCTGTGATCTTCACACTCTGGGAGGCCAAGATATAAGGATTGCTTTAGGCCAGGAGATTGAGAGCAGCCTAAGCAACATAGCAAGACTCTCATCTATACAAATAATTTAAAAATTAGCCTGGCATGGTGGCACACACCTGTAGTCCCAGCTACTTGGAAGTCCCTCACTGAAGCACCAAGGTTACAGTAAGCTATGGTTATGTCACTGTATTCCAGCCTGGGGGACAGAGAAACCTTATTTCTAAAAAAAAGGAAAAAATATGGGTGGCGCCTGTGGCTCAGTGGGTAGGGCGCCAGCCACATATACCAAGGGTGGCGGGTTAGAACCTGGCCCCAGCTAAACTGCAACAAAAAGTAGCCAGGCGTTGTGGCGGGTGCCTGTCCCAAGTCCCAGCTACTCGGGAAGCTGAGGCAAGAGAATTGCCTAAGCCCAAGAGCTGGAGGCTACTGTGAGCTGTGACACCATAGCACTCTATCAAGGGCAACAAAGAGACTTTGTCTCAAAAAAAAAAAAAAAAGTAAAAAATAAGTAAAAAATTTAAAAGAAGAAAAATACCCAAACCTTCCATGGTGAGCAGAAAGACCGGAAGCAAATCCATGAAATATCATCAGATGTTGGCAGGAACACAGGAGAGTTCCTCTACTTGCTGTTCTTCTTTACTTTCTCTAATAAGCAAGTGTTATTATTTAGGATGAGAACTGTAATTTTTTTTTTTTTTTTTTGAGACAGAGTCTCACTGTGTCACCCTAGGTAGAGTGCCATGGCCTCACATCTCACAGCAACCTCCAATTCTTGGGCTTAAGTGATTCTCTTGCCTCGGCCTCCTAGGTTTTTGGGACTACAGGAGCCCACCACAATGCCTGGCTATCTTTTTGGTTGCAGTTGTCATTGTTGTTTAGCTGGTCCAGGCTGGGCTCGAATCCAGCAGCCTCGGTGCATGTGGCTGGTGCCATAACCACTGTGCTACAGGTGCCAAGCCAAGAACTGTAATTTTTTTTTTTTTTTTTTTTTTTT